CTTCACAACAATAAATAGTGTAAATTTTGAAGTATCTCACGTTTACACCACAACACCTTTTTTCGCAATGTTCTCTAATATGAATAAATGTCTTGTTTGGGTTATTTATTGAACCATTTTCGTAGGTATCAACAAAGCACTTTCTGTATTCCATAGCTGTATTATATTTGATATTTTGTCTCCCGGCAGCGAAATTAAAAGTTGCAAAGGTAGTAAGGTTATGTTTACAAACGTTGATGAAGTGACATTTAATTTTTTTTTGTATTTTTGCTTTGCATTACGCACGGACAAAACCATTATAGAGCCACTGATGACGTCATTGAATATGAATAATCTCAACGTAATATTGACATATACATAGAAAATATTAATCAGCAACCTTATTCCTCGAAATAGCTTTTCCTCCATATTATCTTCGTAGACAATTTTTAGCTGTTAAATTCTTCTTTAAATCCCTTCAAATATCATCACATCCTCTTCTCCCCATCCTCGAATTCCTCCATAAGTTCGTTTCTAGTGCGCCATATTGGGCTCACATAGTTATAAAAAGTATTTGGACGTCCCTGCCCAAGTTTTTCAGAATTATAAAAACCCTCTTTATGAGACTAATTTTGATAGTCTAATATTCCAACCGTCGGTGTTTTTCAGCTTAGGCATCTCTAAAAATCAAATTGGGGCTGACAAAATTTTCGATAGAGTGACTGCTGAAAAGTGGGTTGACTATCTTTATTGATTCCTCTAAACTATGCGAGGATGGCCCAGTGGGGTCCGCAGGTTTAAAATTATTTTAAGTTTCAAAGTTCCGCCCGAATCCCGTATTTTTTGGTAAATCATTGCCATGCTGGAAGCGTTTTCTTACGTGTGCTCCCACGTGCTGAAGAAATGCCTTATCTTAACGGACTCACTGAGCTGCCTACACGACCTGGTTAAGCGCCCTTTTCATGCTAAAGACAACTTCTCGATTACTCTGCAGGTTTAAAGATCTTTTATTTAAATGCCATACGGAAAATATCGGGGTGGTCTTGCCATGGATCCCCGGCCACTGTGGCATAAAAGGTAATGAAAGTGCGGGTCTCTGTGCAAAAGAAGCCATTATGATGGGTAGTAACGTGTATGACCGATGTTTTCCTCGTGACGCTAAAGCCCTTGCCCTCTCACAAATACGAAATTCCTGGAACTCAGTAAACATTATGGTAAAATTCAACCTGAACTTCCCACTAAACCTTGATTCTTCACTAGGAAATCAATTCCGAAAAATATCACCTCTGCAATTATTCGCATTCGTTTAGCTCATATTTGTACTCCTGTGTTCTTGGCCAAGATTCGTGTTCGAGATTAATCCCTGTGCGTATCCTCACTCCTCTGTATGATATCCTCCTCTCTAAAATCCCCCGTCCCGTCAATATCAACTTCCTCCATTGACTTACAATTATATGGACGTCGGGTCCGCGCTAAAAAGTGTCCGAACTTATAGAGCGTTAAAATCGTATACAGAGCGTCATTCACGCTTTAGTCTTCTTTTGTTCGACTGACAGCGAAGCAAGCAAAATTAGACAGTACAGCGATGACATTACAATTTAAATTCAACGTTTTAGCTGTTTCATATTCCTTTACATGTCACTACGTTTAAATAGGTTGACTTGGGACATTTTTTCGTGGTTTTTGTATTAGACCCGTCGTCCATTTATTTGTAAGTCAATGACTTCCTCTTATCGTTAATCCACTCTTTCTTTGTCTATGTCCTGTGTAAGTTTATTAAAAAAAACAATTTGTTTTTATAATAGTCTGTGTATGTACTCTGTTGTTGTAGATTCTCTTCTCAGTGATTTTTTTCGGAATTTGCCGGTCAATCTTTAAGTTAAACGATTGCGTTCCTCACCTTGGCGTTGGAGGATTTACCGTGGTATCAATGGGGTTGTAACATTATAAAGTAGAAGTCATATTTTTACAAAACTATCGCATATAGTCATTGACTTACAATTATATGGACGTCGGGTCCGCGCTAAGAAGTGTCCGCACTTGTAAGGCGCTAAAATCGTATACAGAGCGCCAAACTCCGCTTTAGTCTTCATTTGTTCGACTGACAGCGCGATACTGCGATGACATTACAATTTAAATTTCGAAAAGGTTGACTTGGGACATTTTTTTCGTGGTTTTTGTATTAGACCCGTCGTCCATTTATTTGTAAGTCAATGCATATAGTAATTTTTGCTTGACATTGGCGAAATTATTGTTTATTTCGATGGAGCTATAGCATTTAAAAAAAGAAGAAGTAGAAGAAGAAATGAATTTTGAAAAAAAATGAGCAATGCCCTTTCGAATAAAAATGTTGTAAAAGGCTTTTACGCATGCTGCCATGATGTATTAGAGGTAAAATAAGTAATTTCTAAATATTGAAAATATTTCAGAATTTGAATTGATAAAATTAATTTAGAAAAATACAGTTAGATTGCAATGTTCAGTTTTTTTTTTCTATACTTCTTTATGCGAAAAACATTACGATTTTTCGAGTATTAAAAGTTTTTGCTTAACCTTAACGTTGAGAAGTACAGTGTAATTAAATAAAAAGAAACCATTACTGGGTATAAGGCGGTAATATAATAAAAACGCCCGTGGGCGTAATTTAGGACATTACGGTCGACGTTGCCTGCATGTTATGACACTGTTTACGAGCAAGTGTGCTGAAAGAATATTTATTATTATTATTATATTATTTACACAAAATAAATATTTATCCTTATGGTAAAAACAACATGATATTCATTAAAATAGATATTACAAACAAGACTTACTCTTACTTATCTTTTTCTTTTTTCTCTTTTTTGTTGTATCTTTATACTGCCATGATAGATAGGCACGTAAGGGTTCAGTATTCCTTAGTTTGTCCTACCAGAAATGGCAATTTGGGATTAGCGACCTGCAGGGTCACCGAGGTCAATCTTTTTTATTTTGCCCTAAAGTGTTGTTGCGCGGAGTTATTTATGGTCAGTATATCACGTTTAATTACGCTGTGTGAGGGTGTTGTAGTGGCCAGTTTAGCGCTCTTCTGATTTAGACTTGACAGCTAGGCTTTTGGCGGAGTCCCTTTGACTTGATTCCTACTTTTCGTGCTAAATCCATACCTACTCATAGCCGACCGTCTCCAACTACTTGGGATAGTAGCAGCAGAGCTTCTTGTGAAAGATTTCGTCTAGGGAAGCACTGCCACCTTAACTATTTCTGCCGCCAAGCAATAATGTCAGTATTACTGTGTTCCGGTTTTGAAGGGTAAGGGTGCTGGTGAAATTAGTGCACATGGGCTTTGTCAACTTAATGTCTCAGGGTGACGGGCGCAGTGGCTTTGCCCATCAGATCTATGCAATTTAAAGCTCTGATTGGTACTGCAACTGTTCTGGGCAGGCGAGTAGCTTACCATCAGGCTCATGACTTGTTCGTCCCGTCACTTGATATGATAAAAAGGAAATGGACCTGTCATCCGGTTTAAAATTCGGCAGATATAATAAAATCATGGCTAAAAACGCAGCCAGGACTCTCGGCATCCTTTCCAAGGTGACTTCTGACGTCACATCAGGACCGTTATACCAAGCACAAGTCCGGTGATGTATGGAGCACTGACACCTATGGCATGGTTGTAATAAATGCCAACCAGCAACCTTGGATTGGAAATTGAAAAGCGTTCCAAGAGCCTGCTGCAGGGCCTTGAACACAGTTGTAAAACCATTTAATTCCGAATTCCCCTTCCATCACTGGGAGACTAGACTTAGGCTTGGGTTCCACCCCTATGTTGTGATAATATATTATGAAGGATTACGCTTCCAAATTTACGTGGTGAGTGGCTATGGAGTGGAATTCCCTGCCTGCAGACATTCATTAGCCATTTTTATCCAACTAAGTATAATAACTCGCAGTATTCTTGATCTATTTGCTTCTGTTGTATGGAATCCGATGTACGCCGTCCTTTCGGTACGCATAAAGAGCTTGCAACGCGCCTTTATAAGACATTTAGCATTCAATACGTCAGGCATATCTTATAGAAGCTCATATGAGCAGCGCCTCTCGTTCTTTCGAATGATACCTCTCTATGAACGTCGGCAAAATTATTGATCTCCTTTTTCTGTACAAGGTTGTGAATGGTATTATTACTTGTGACCAAATTCCAGAACGCATAAAAATCCGTGTTCCGTTTAATTATCCCAGACACAGAATTACAAAACTTATGTCTCACCTTGTCGGATATTTAATAAGGGTATTTAATTAATACAATTGTACTGTCATATTTACGTCAATCAACTATTTATTCCGATCTTATAATCAATTATTTAACTTAAATTTTAGAACGTTATTGAATAATTGGATTATTAATATTTAAAGTTGTTTTTATTTTATATATTATATGTATCTGGGTATATATATATTAAGTGATGTGTATTCCTGTAATTGGCTTACACATAAGAACTGTGCTTTACTAAATGTCGACGTTTAAACTCTGTCTGTGTAAACTGTTGGTGTTCCAAATGAATAAATAATTAAATAAATAAAAAGCACCGCTTTGTGTCTTAGTCGGTTCAAATGTTCCGATAATACTGGCAGCATTAGCGTGCTGAATAGCCAACGAAATTTGTTACACCAAGTAAGATCCAGAGCGTGGATCACAGCCTCTATCTCTAAGCCGACGACTCAAATCCCTGATTCTATAATTACAACTTATTAATAAATACCTCGTAAATTATCTAAAGAACATTCTAATTTACGCTGCTATGTTTTACAAAATGATATTAATGGTCGCGTTGAAAAAAAAAATTGACGCAAAATGAAAAAAAAAATAGATAAAAGCTAAAAAAACAGTCAATACCATAGACGTCGAATATAGGTCTATGACCAAAACAATATAAATCGTATACGTCATTGTAACAGTAAATTTACAACAATGTAGTATTTGTTGAAAATAGTATTTTATTTAGCAAAAATCTAAGACACCAATTAAAAATGGCAAAAATTAAGTAGTGAAAATCAAGTGTCCATTTCAGTTTTCTTAATATTAAAATTTCAATATGTTGTGTGTCCCGACCTAAGGATGGATTTTTTTATTCCGAGACCAGAACCGTAACATTCAGAAATGCTTACCGACGACGATAGTAAGTTTTTGGAAACTTTACAACATAATTTTGAGATATAAGAAGCCCTGTTCCAATTTTCCTCAATAATAACGGCTCCACTCCTGCCATTCCTTGGTCATCAAATAAATAAAAAAATAACGCACACACTCTTAGCCCCGCACTAGGGAAACCCTGTGTCGCGGGTACCATGAGACACACGCTTTGACAATCACAAATTACAGCCAAAATCACGAGAAAAATAAATGTAGGCCTAACAAATATTTCTCCACATCCGGGAATCGAACTGTGCGTGGCAGACCAGCATGGTAACCGGTCGGCCACAGAGACAGTTCAAGGCCTAAAACTCTGGGCAGACTGAGACGCGCGACCGCCATACGTTTCAGTGGGGCAGGATTGATATAGGGTTGAAATTTCTTCGCCGGAACACTTCCGCAACCACCTCTGTGTGACCTGAGCATTACTAATATTCTTCCACGAGGACAGCTATGCCGTATTTTCTCCGTTTATCATCTGTGACAATCACACCTAACGGTGCTTTTCCACCGGCGAGGCAAGACGAGAATTGAAATTTGTATGGTGGCAAAATTTTAATTCTCTCTTAGCGCATCTTCGCTGGAAATAGTCTGGATTGAAGAGGATGTACGAGATGTGAATTTAAATATTAGTGAGCCGTATTGCTGCCAGCATAAGGTATTTGTTGAGCGAACCTGCGCCAACTTCCTATGGCTATCAATACTGCTCTATCTACTCCTTATCATAACTACAGGCGTACAGGTTAACTGAGTCGGTTTCTAAGGTAGTTGCGCGATGCAGGAGGAGTGAGAGTTTACGTAACATTTACGTTGCGCTGCATACAGGATAATTTTAACAAGATGTTTCTAAGTCAAAGTCAAAGTTACATAACCATTTATTCCATAAAATATTTTTACACTTGAAAACGTCGTTTTTTACTGCTCGTTCACTACGCTGACCTCCCTGAGAAGAACGACCAAGAAACTCTAGGGATTGCTCTTTTCAAATAAACTTAAATGCTATGGAATACATTTTGAAACATAATTGTGTGGAATCTAAATACTTGTTGTCTTTCCATACATCTTTATCTAACACATGCTCTTCAATTTTGTGATACGGTTTTTCAATGAAAATATTTTTAATGTAAGTTTTAAACTTATGAAATGATAACTCCTTACATACATACATACACTCCTTCCGTATGGCGCTGCTACCTCGTGATTCTGTTAAATGGTAGGCATGTAATGTAATCTACATGTTTAGCGAAATTGAGTTATTAACATATCTGGAATCAGTGAAACGAGATCTAGAACGCTTTATTCTTACAATATTTTTAGTTTTGTAACACCACATACAAGAAGTATTAGTAACCTTGCCTTGCCGCTAGACGGCGTTGGGATCAAAATAGAGCTATCGAAGTGTTAACTAAATTACCATTTCAGTTGCAAAAGGAAATTGCTTTGTATATACGCCTTCAGCTCGCCCTTTAATCCGGTGGCGCAGTCAAGACCATCAACGGCCAACTGCAAAATATCCTTCAAAAAAAAAAAGCTTTGTGTATACGGGTTATGAGCTTTCAGCTCGCCCTTTTCTTCCGGTGGCGCAGTCAAGGCCATCAGCGGCCAACTGCAAAGTGTCCTTAAAAAAACACTTTGTATATTTTTAATTCGGTGGCGCAGTCAAAGCCATCAGCGGCCAACTTACGTCAAAATATCCTTAAAAAACAAATGCTTTGAGTGGCTCTCTAGTACTTCCACCGGGTGAGATACCTACTGGGAGATGAAAGTTCATAGAATCGTCGGTCCTCGAGAGCCGGCTGCCGCTTTCATCGGGTGGGACGGTGAGCTGAAATCGATGAATATTATTTATTCATCGATGATGAGCGCGATTACGTCTCTTACGTCGATCATACACCTACGTAAGTAATCGTCGTTGAACATTTGGAGGCTACAAAAGTCTTTCTTCACACTCCCGCGCTGCGTAAACTTATTACAGTTTTAATTTTAGTGTTAAGCAATATCAGCGTAATTGGCATTTTTTATTATCAAAAAAACTAATTGAAACTCGAAAGTTATCGAAATACAAATACGTTAGTTATGACAGAATATCAATTGTGAGATTTTGGGGTACGTACGATTTAACATGGTTTTATTCCAAATAATTGCTCAGGCGTCGATTGTTTAAAATTTATCTATCAAGTAATTTACTCTATTGATATTTTATTTTTTAATTCTAATATCAAGTTCGCGATGGCAATTAATATCCATCGGGAGCTCGCGATAGCTATTGATTCTCGTCTCATCTCGTCGGTGGAAAAGCACGCTCTCACTCGTTCCAATCTTATAACTTCTGTCACTGCCTCCATGGCCGAAAGGTTACGTGCCACTCTGCTACGCAGAGATTCCGGGTTCGGTTCCTGGGCCGGGAGAAACTTTTGTATGTATATTTATTTGTCTCGTGAGTTTGAGTGTGTTTTGTGGTTGTCTAAGTGTGTGTCCATGGCACTCGCGATACTCACTTTCGCTCAATCAATCACGAGTAGGCGGTAGCTGTTCAATTCTCGACTCACCACGTCGGTGGAAAAGCGTCTTATCCTCAATTTTCCGCCGTTGACTGTACTCATCTGCGTATACTATTTTTGTGGTACAGACGATGAAGAAACACCTGGGTCGATCGGCGTTGGCCGTTACCCATGCATGCCATCTCTGGTCGCTTTACAACAAATGCGACACCGCCTCCACCTCGCTTACTTGGGCAAGAGACTTATGAAATGGACTGCCATGGCTACAGGCAGGGAATTGAGGAAGATTGCCATTTCATTGAATACGTACGTCATATTTTTCTTACTGTTTTTTATGATATAAAGCGACGGGATGAACAGTCGTGCGCCTGGTGGTGAGCAACACGCCTATCCATAACAGTTGCAGTGCCATTCAGAGCTTTAAATCACAAAGGTCTGGAAAGGACTGCCACTGCGACCGTTAGCCTGAGACATAAGTTGACAAGTCCTATGTGCCTGTAATTTCACCGGTACCCTTACCCTTTAAAACCTGAACACAGTAATGCTCACGTCACTGCTTGACGTCAATAGTAGGTAAGGTGGCAATACTTGCCTGGACGAAGTGTTTCAAAAGGAGCTCTGCTGCTACTTATATACTGTACAAAATCCGATAGCATCTCAATAATATGATAACATTGATGTTACGCTGCAATCTGGACTGTTTGCACATTGCCAAAACCCTCTACAACTTACAACTGAGTGAAAGTCAAATAATCCATTCCATAGGTAAAATAAATTTACACTTGAAAACGGCATTGTTAAGCTAATACTCGTTCGCTGTTGCTGACTTCCTTGAGAAGAACGAGCAAGAAACTCCAGGGATTGCTCTTTTGAAATAAACTCGCAGAAAAGTAGCCTGCTTGTCGGTTTTCTATCGGATACATTTCGGCGTGTGTGCTGAGTGGACCTTTTCAATTTAGTTCCACCCTCACCGTTCCTTCTTCGGTCGACTAGAAGGTCCGGAGCACTCCATTCTTGTGTAGTTGATATTCCACCTATTTGAACTAAGATGCGTACGGCAAAGTAATGGTATGCTCTACGATATCTGTATTTCCCAAAAAGTATAATTTGGGGCTATTCAAGGCTAGAGTCAATAGGCATTTTTTAGACAAACCGCCCGTCACGTCGTCGTCATCGTCGGTCACACGGTCGCTTAGCATCAGGTGACATTGTGGCCAATCGTGTGTCTATTATATAAAAAAGATACTTAAATGCTATAAAATACACTTTCAATACATCTTTATTTAATACGTAGTCTTCAATTTTGTAATATGACTTTTCAATTAAAATGTTTATAATGTAGGTTTTAACACTGTTAATACAATAGTTAATAAGTTAATTCCTACTTGCCTAATTTGGATATTTAAAAATAAAAGAGAAAAAATAGTTTCATATTTTTGATTAAGAACAATTTTTGATACAACTAGCTCTCAAAAAGCGTGTCTCATTTTGAGTTAAGTAGATATATTTTTGTTGTTTTTTACAATATTCTAACGACGGTTTTATTGACATGTAGAGAATCAAATTTTACGTTCAACAGTGGTATAATCTTGAATTTCACATATTTTTAGTTATAACACTATTGCAATAGCAGTGCGATATATATGCTCCGGAATCTTATTGTAAAAACCACACATATATATGTCTGTGGTAAAGACGTATACAGTTCTCCATACTTTAGTTTGATTTCTTTTACTTGATATCTTTTACTTTAGTTTGATTTTCGACTTACTTTTACTTTACTTTGGCACGCTATGACGTGATAGTGACGTGAAACCTCAATTCATTGTCGAAAAAGTATAATCAAAAGCGAGTCGCATCTATAAGATTTTAGATTTATAACTAGTATTGCAAGGGGAAGATGATTAAAAACTTTATGTTATGATATTTACTTAATATATTTCAATGAACAGAAGCAATGTCAATTCGAAACTTCTTTGTTTTGCATTGAACTTTGACGCGAGTTTGCCGGAGGTAGAAGTTGTGCTGGCCAGCGATCGTATAAGTGACGATCGTATTAGATTTTTTTTTTTAAATAACGAATTTCGAAAATGAAATGCCGAGTTGTGTCGTAAAATGATACATTCCATAAATTTTACTGCACGTCACTATTGACAACTATGTACAGCAATTAGGTCCTTCAACGTAGTTATGAATTAATATGAAACTTGATGAGCGGACAAACGTCAAAATGACCATCATAGCGTGCAGGTACTTATCTTACATTACATCTTCATTAATTTTTTTTCTTAACTTTTCCAAATTCAAATTCCAAATTCCATTTATTTGCCACACACAAAAAAAACACAAAACGTACAATTGAAAAATCTAACATATAAATGGTAACTAAAAACACAAAACTATTCTCTATGGTTACAGATGTGTGGTGAGGATTCTGAGCTCAGTATATGCCGTGCAAACTTAGTTTGCGCAGCACTGATTTTCAGCCAGAACCTCCCTGACAGGAGCTACGGTCTCACGTTTGTGTAACAGGCAATTTATGGAACAAAAATAATACAGACCTTGAATTAAGCTATTTGAGGAGCGCGAAAGTAGAAAATAAAATAAAATAATAGTAATAATTTACACAATAAAAACCGATTTTTGTCATTGTCAAGTTTATATTTCCTTAGATGGTAAAAAGTGGAATAAAAAAAAAAGATCAAAATAAATCTTTGAAGGGAGAAAAAAAAATAGTTATCCTAAACAGAAATTTACAAAATAGGTACGTTTAAAATTTACAACATATTTTGATGACCCTGGGGTGATTCAGCATCTTCCTTTTGAGCAGTTAAAAATATTTTTTATTTTTTATAATACTCTTTGAATTGCGTTTTGAGTGTATTTCAGAAGGCGAGGACCATATACAGTATCGCAATAGTTAAAAACTGATAATACCAGTGATTTTACAACAATTTTTCTTATTTCTATCGTTAGGAATTTTCTAATGTTGTGTAGGAGTTTAAGCCTAAAGAAGGCATTGCGGATTTTTAAGTTTATGTGATCTTTAAATTGTAGGTCACTATCAATCAAAAGACCCAAGTTGGTTGCTAGCTATAGCGTCACTTCCTATGTAGACAAGTGGATTTTGTTCTAGGACACGGTTATGCTGACATAATGATGAATCTAGAATTATATATTTAGATTTACTAGGATTTAAAACCAGTGCATTTCGACTAGCCCATTCACTTACACTAGTTAGATCTTAGTTCAGTTCATTAATAGCTCTTATCGCATCAGTAGGCGGAAAAGAGTGGTAAAAGTATCGTCAGCATTCACTAGTGTGAACATTGCAAAATTTGAGAGTATCTACGAGGTCACTGGTGCAGAGTAAGAACAGAGTAGGACTTAGAATAGACCCCTGTGGCGTGCCTCTACGCTTTTAATCTTGTAAAACTACCCTTTTAATCTCGGACTTAACAATGTCTCCTCTTTCATTTTGCAACTCCACATATTGCATTCTATTTGTAAGAAATGACCGAAACCAGTCACAGACATCTCGACTCACACCATAACGGCTCATCTTGACGATTAGAAGTTCGGTACTGATACACTCAAAAGCGCGAAAAAAATCTAAAAGGACAAGAACACTAACCGTACCAGTATCTGTGGCCGTTATAATGTCGTCGATGACGTGTGCTAGAGCCGTATCAGTGCCACGCCCCTTACGAAAACCCGACTGGACTACAGGCAGATTGTTCTCTTTTTCTAAATACCTAGTAAAAACAAACAACTCTTTCTAGGACCTTCGAAAGAATGGGCATAATACTTATAGGTCTTTAATTTCTTCGACTTTAGAAGATTTCGGAATAGGTTTTACCCTAGCTAATTTCCAAGTTTCGGGAAAATATTTGATTTTTTTTTTTTTTTTTTATGACATTAAGTAACGGGACGAACAAGTCGTGTGCCTGATGGTAAGCTACACGCCTGCCCATAACAGTTGCAGTGCCACCAAGAGCTTTAAATTACAAAGATCTTGGGGGCACTGCCACTGCGCCCGTCACCCTGAGACATAAGTTGACAAGTCTCATGTGCCTGTAATTTCACCAGCACCCTTACCCTTCACAACCGGAACACAGTAATGTGACCATTACTGCTTGGCGGCAGAAATAGGTAAGGTGGCAGTACTTCCCTGGACGAGCTCTTTCACAAGGAGCTCTACTGCTACTAAAATACTGATTATACTGATTCTATTGATGTATTTATAATATTGGTAACAAAGAGTAAGGTGACATTTAGTGTTCCACCTATCATATGTAATCATGACTATGTGCTTTGCTTTTGATTGATTGTATTATTTTTTTCACTTGATCAACAAAACACTTTTCTAGTCTAAAACAATTTTTTGCACGAGGGGTTACTCCTATGTGGTCGGTATTTACATTACCACTACCTGATGTTTCAAGAAAAAAATCGTTTAAGGCATATAATTAGGTGATGTGGCATCGTCGTTGACATTCCACTGCTGCGCACATTTTTTTAATGACTCCACATTTTCTTGGCGCATGTTTATTATTAGATAGATAGATAAACACTTTATTCACTGATATAACACAAATACAGATTAAGCATAAAAGAAAAACAAAACATGATTGTCATAGCAGTGAAACGGCGATGACTTAGTATATACCAAAGTTTCCTAAGGCGCTGGTTTTCAGTCAGAACCAACGAGAGGGATTAAATTATTTGAAAACAAAAATAGTAAAGTTATACATTGACAATAATAATATACATAGTAAAGTGTAAATAGTGCATCTAAAATAACCTGTTTGACATGTAAGTGCATGAGCAAATGTGAATATAATTACAGCTGTAGGAGCAAGTTGTGACTGTAAAGAGGTTTTAATGTTGTGTAATGTTATTAGTATTATAATATAATTATACACATAAAAAGAATAGATCAAAGCAACAACAAAATTCGATTCTAGTCAGACTACGTTAAAGAATGAAAACACACTGCACAGATTTTTGAGAGTAGGTGTTGCCGGTACAGTGCTTTGAATTTGGGTTTGGATGTCTCGTTGCGTATAGGTGGTGGAATATTATTATTTACGTAAAAATTAACATAAGCTATTTTTTCTCTATCTAATACCCCATTCACCAAATTGCGTAATTGTTTGTAGCCTCTATGAGCATCAGTACTAGAATTATTCGCTCTAACTAGTGCTTCATCGCGTAAGGACATCATTAATTTTATATTTCCAGTAATCCACGTCGTGGGTCTATTATTAACACGCAATTTACGAAAAGGTGCATGCTTATCATAC